TGCAGTTGATAACATTCACCCGATGCCATTTGCGGTGGTAGGAGAGCTTAGCTGAGACTTTGACCCCATTCTTTCAACACTGTTTTGACGAACTGTACGTGCTTGACGTGTGGAAACACGAGATGGTAATTCCGATTCACAAAGGAGGTAGTCGTTCCGATCCATCCAACTACGGTCCCGTACTTCTACTACCGATGCTTTCAAAAGTCATGGAAGTCACTATTGCAGACGCTCTAACGGCCTACTTGGAAGAATTTACCTACCTTGCACTATAACAGCATAACTTTCAGCAAGGTCCATCGTGCATTTCAAATCTACTGCTAGTACGATCCAGTTGGAACGAAGCAGTAGACACTGACATGGGAGTTGATGTAGCTTTTCTCGACTTCTCAGAGACATTCGACCGATTAAACCATGGCATTCGTCTCTCCAAACTCCAGACCTTTGGTATTGCTGATCTTCTCCCAGGGTAGATCAGAAGCTTTTGCTACACAAGCGCTTGGAGGTAAGATTACCTGAAACCCTATCAGAGCCCATCCAAGTTGAATGCGGAGTACCACATGGATCGGTATTAGTTCCACGGTTGTTTTTTATGAATATAAACGATATCACACGCCTCATAAGCTCTGACTGCCTGCTCTATACCGATGACATCAAGATGTGGAGAGCGATCAATACGCCAGCTGATATTACACTATTTCAAGCCTATCTGGACAGGGTTTTCTCGGGGTCAATCCAGAATCTACTTCGGTTTTATATGGATAAATATAGAGTGCTGTATTTAGAGCGTCAGCTGGCGCGCCGCTGAAAACTGGGCAATCAAGAGCTTCAAACTTCTTCTTGCTAAAAGGATCTGAGCGTTTTGGTCCAACTCGACCTTGGATGTTCGAATCAGGCTGAAAAAGCGCCAACTAGGGGCATCTAAAACGTGTGCCTTCCGTGGCCTGCATTCGGGCGATTCGACTCGTCGAGTTCTCAACTGCTTCTCGGCTCATACACATGTCCACGCGTTTAATACGTAGCACAGATGTTGCAGTCACGGCTGAGGAGAGATCTCACACTGCCTTGGAGATACCCTAACCTCGGGCAACCAAGAATATCAGAATTTTGTATCATTTACCGCATGAATGAAGGCTGGCAGTGCTCGGGGTCTTAAGTGGGCACTGCCGGTGATTGCATGGGGACCTCACGTGCCGCCATTTGCTAGAGCTGATTCACGGCAGTAATCTAAGAAGCCACCATCTCAAGTTCGCAGAGCGGTACAGTCGTATGGAATTTCTCCTCCTTGCGCGTTTGTCAAACGTGGGATGCCCTACCGGAATCTGTACACAAGTTGACCGTGCACTCATTTCGCTGATCCATCTCATATGACTCATTTCCCTTGGCCCAACACGACTGTCTGTTAGAAATTTCACTAACGCTCAACTCTCGGAATGCATTCCAGCTTTTTCACCCGTATTTGTTCACCAGGAGGAGCACGAGTTTTACCAACGTCCCATTTGTCCTCATTCTTAATGGGCTTACATTGGATTTGCAGTTTATAATATGTATACCACGGTGAATTCGCCAGTGTGAACTTATTGTTGTTGACAAGTTCTCCATATTTTGCAGTATTCACCATAACCATCCTACGGTATCTCTTAGGCCTTAGCTTTTTTACCCGTATTAAACCATTGTTCCATTGGACTGCGATTTCAGTTATGGCATTATGTTGATTTCCTCGATGGAAAGCTACTTGTCAATAGGCATTGTGAGTCGCTTCCCTGAAACCAATAAATACGGTCTTCGTCACATATTTATATGTGATTACTGACTTCTCTGTCTTCATCAGAAATCTACTTGTCCCAGTCGTACTCATTTTCCTCACTCCTCTTTTAAAGTACAGTGTGTGAGACCACTAAATGCGCAGTGGGCACTTACTCCATCTAGTTGCTCTTTTCGCTCATGGCCATAACAGGTGCCTCGGCCTAGTCGCATTAAATACTTGATTTGCGTGGACAGACTGCAATGTTTAAGTGGTAGCTGTAGTGAAAACCCCCATTGTTTTGGCAGCACTAGCGTTGACAATCCATAAGTCGCAACGTTACACGCACGAGACACACCTGTGGCGACATTTTCTAGTGCAACGACCAGGAATGATCTGAAAATGTGCAACGGTAATGCAAATCGATTTTCAATTTTGATAAGGCATAAAGTTGCTTATTGTTTCATGTGTTGTCTAATGTTGCACAGGATTAGAACGTTCACTGAGAATGTGAATACCAAAAGCTTAAAATATGGTTTTAGATAGTAGGAAAATGGGTTCAACACAAGCATAAAGTGTGTATAAATTTTTTATTGCACATTTTGTCTTCTGCTTTGCTTAAGACTATTCAGTCATATCGAGTGTTGATTGTGGCACTCACATGAGACTTGAGCAAGAGGGGCGCCTAGAAACCCGAAAATGTAAGGGCAGACCACAATAAGTAATAGGAGTAACGACAATGAAGATGGATAATGTGGAGGTGTGTTCGGTTGACGTCCTTCCTCAGTCCCTACTTGTTGGTAATAACTTTGTGTTTCGCATAGACGGGTTTCTCTTCGTTGTTTTTCGCGGCACTGAGACTCCTCGACCTAGTTGGCACCACCTTTACAATCCAGGACGGCTTCGTCAACAGATTCTTATGCCTAGCTCAGGACAAGCGTTGGGCTGGTGTCAATCGATCGCTCTTTCACGCAATGTGTGTGTGTGTGTGTGCTCAGCCTGCATTGTGAGTCACCGTCGTAGGCACATGTTTCTTCCACCTCTAGGGTTTCATCCACCGTCATTGTTTGCTGTCCTTATTTGGCTTTGGAGTATTATTGACCTCATACCTACACTGTTTCCCTCATTTCGCTCGCGATGCATTTTTGCGCCATGATAACTTTTTTCTGATTCTAAGTGAGTAACCCAGAGACAGCCAGTGTATAACTTGTCCATGATTTTGTCCGGTACTGTCTGCGGTGTGTGCGCTGTAGGTAGGGACTGTTTGCGATCATTTTTCTCACTCGTTTGGCTGAGATATGCTTGTTGGGCCAACGTTGGCTCGATAATTACGTTTCTGATAGTTTTCGTGTAAATACTGCTCCACATGCGCACACCCAGCAGCACACTCGGTGACCGGTATAAGCTTTAGGCACCGGATTTAAAGCAGGTTACTGGCTCTCTGTTGTTCGAGCGTCGCTTGGGGAAAATTGGATTAGTTTGAAGAGCAGTTCAGTTGTTCGGTTGCACGACTAGGATCCGGGTACCGACGTGCAGTGGAACCAGTTACCACGAATCACGCCATCAGAATAACAATAAATAACGAGAACCGGAGATTGAATGCCATTAAAATACGAACATGGAATCAAGAGAGAAATACATGAAACTTTTTCGGATGGAATACAATTTCACGGTTAGATACAACAACGGAATGCAGCAACGCTACTGGTTGCGCGACTACGCCTTATCTGATTAGCCTCCAACCACCAGTGTGGGCCATCCCCAGGCACCCATCCATGAAGATGACACCCAGCGGTCTGACATTTGGTCAGGCCTATTTCTTCATGCTTTTATGTCAAGTCATCGGCTAACCTCCTTCTAATCGTGAATAATCGGTTTCGGAATTCAAGAAATTCCTATACATTCCATCTGTAAGTTTTAGCTCTAGGGGAGTATCACAGCTGAATAGGACGTTGTGCAGCTGTATATGTTATAAATACACTGGAATTAATAACATTTTTCTGCGTGCGTACTCGATCAATTTTTGTTGCAGCTACTCGGATTTATATCATGAAATTCTCCCTTAGCCCGGCCAGTTTTTGTGCCTTATCCACATGTCGCACACACTTTTCAGCGATGAATCCTTTTAAAAATGTGTGCGACAGCCTCTTCCAATGCAGAGCTTGGCCGTTTAAGCTCCCTTTTTACTGTTTGCTCTTCTTAATATATTAATGACATGGGCGCTTTGCTTGAGTTGAGCAAACCAAATAATCTAATTAATCCATTATTGTATGGTTCATTTTGCGAAGTTTACCAACAAGGTTTAATGTACACATTGCACACCGCTGCAGATCAGGATGCTTTCCGCTTCTTTCAACCATCTAAACCAGCCAGTGCACTTTCACGAATCAACACTAGACACAATCAGTGGATGCGTTGAAACGATTTCCGGCCCTTGTCCTAAGGGATCATAAGCCTACTTTCTAATCCGATGGCGCGGGTTCGAGTCTGCGTAGGGTACCGGTCGACCCTCTCAGTATCTTTGGCCCTCGCGCGACTGTTGGTGGTTGCGCGGCTATGAAGCGTCAGTACTGCGTACCGGAGTACTGCTGATACCTCAATTGTAACAATTTGGTTCCATCACCAACTTCCTTGCTCAAAGGATCAAACTAGAACCCATAGGATATCAACAATTTCACAAATGGTCACGGTTTTTCATCACTCTGGGGCTCTTACTTGGTCGGAGCCAATCACTTTCCTTTACATATAAGTGTTCATCGTTTTTTGGCAGGCGGAGTCTGTTCTTCGCCGGACAGGTGTGTTGAAGCAATGCGTATATTTCGACCAGTTCGTTATCGTGACTGTGTGACAGAGATTGTTGTCTTCTAATTTTTTTGGTTTCTCTCACCTGTCGCAAGCGCAGTGCATATGTGGGTAAGTTTACCCCCTGATAATTGCAGTTTCTGGATGAACACTGGTCTCGGGACACTCATTGATGTCTTAGACAACTTCATTGATGGTCTCAATGAATTCGGCCAGCTTATTGCGGTTACACCCATCAGCGAACTACGTCCTGGCCGCTTAGCTCAGCTTGATCACCCAGCTTAGTTCAAATCCTCCCTTTCTATGTTTTCTCGTGTATACTTCCTTCGTCTACCGAAATATCCCAAGTGCACCGCTACCTCAGCCACCTTGCATGAAAGTCTCACCCTCAAAGCGCATATAAATATTGTTAGTTATTTTCCATCCCACTCTCATTTTTCATGTATACAACCAGGCCAAGAAAGACGCAGCGGCACCCAAACCAAAAGGCGGTGGCATTTTTAGTTGGTTTACGCGGTCATCCACCTCATCAGATCCCGGCTCTTCATCCGAGGATTCCAGCACCTCACAAGGTAGTGCAATCTTGAGACGTATAAAATCGGAGATGACAAGTGAAGAGAAAGCTCGCTTGTTTGCGGCCATAGACTATTCAGAGGCTTCTGGAGGCGGCGGATATCCAGCTACTTATGTGTCTGCAACTGCTTCCATCACTTTACGCCAGCTGGGCTTTTCTTTGCTGGATGAGAAGCTCAAGTATGTCTATTTGTATTGTACCTTCCGTCTTTTATGATCTTAGGTTCACGCACCTCAACCATCTGTCTAACGCCAAAACATTTACTGATCATTCTGATCTATTTCTGCTATTTGCACTTTTCGACTAGTACACTTCAAACTCCATTTCGCCACTCATTTCATAAATCTGCCAAACGGATACGCAATGGAAATGTTGAATGCTTCAAGGGATCCTTACTTAGGACCTCATAGAACCTTAGACACCCTGCACTCTGTCGGTTGTCATGCGAGGCACGTCTGCGTGGCTCGCCTCATTATATGGAGTAAACCTCCTTGATGTCGCCTGATCGCACTTAAATCTTTGTTATGAACTACGATTGCAGCCAAAATTTGGATACAGCGACCGCTGCGCAACTGAATTTCGCAGTCTGAGATATCTTTTTATTCCAAAACTGGATTGCCCATACAGCTTCAGCTCCACAGGCCGATCCCTTATGTTGCTTTCCAATATGGTATCAGGCTCCCACTGTTCGCCTTTTGAACATGTACAAGTTGAATACTTAGTTTAATTTGGCTTTGTTCACTTCCGTCTATCTAACCACATTGATACATTGGTCCGATTCCAGCTTTTTAAGCGCAGTCGATCATTTTTCTCTTGCAGGGACCCTCATATCATCAGCTTTGTTATCAGCAAACTCACCATCGGAGTGGAGCAGCGTGAGGGGGATCAAGCTCTCAGGTAGGTCTGTTCATTTCATATGTAATATTTATACTCAGTCGTTCCATATTTTATTCGACCTGTTTTCATCGCCTCCTTCGAACTCTCCACCCGTGGACTGTCAGTGTCTGACACGTTGACCACTATGCTGTGTGCCTAAGTTGTGGTTCTGACACCGTCTAGGCCATAGCCTGATTATAACCTAGTGGTCTGCGCAACGCATTGCCAGCCGTGCGGGCGGGGTTTGAATCCTGGATGCCTGCCTTTCGTAATGGGCGTATGTACACCATAGCCAGCCAACCGCTGCATCCCACAGGCTCCGTAAAGCATCTAGGAGTACTCTCACGCTGTGATCTTAAGTCCGTCGACAACACGAACAGATTACGGAAACGGACTATGCTTGCTTAGACAGGTACCTAGATGCAGTTTCTGTGCTTGATCTGAAGAGATTGCCATTCGCCTGTTCTCTTCCATGATAAGACCGATGCTCGTGTACAGCTCACTCGCCTATTGTCCGATCACAATAGATGAGGTGCAGAGATTAGAACTGGTCCAGCATGTAGCTACCCGGCTCATCTTCAGTTTACGGGGTATGTCGTACGAGATCCGATGTACGAGACTAGAGCTGTATACCCTGTCATTATCGTCGGCTTTGAGTTGATCTCATAATGATGCATCACATATTGCACCTGGGCCACTACCTTATGTTGAGGCCACTGCTTCACGTTCGCCTACCAAACACCACACGTGGACACCAGCATAAACCGCTGGTACCGGATTTAAAGCATATCGCTCACTCTTTATGCTTCGAGCGTCGAGTGGTGAAATGTTGGAACAGGTTGCCTGAGACAATAGTGGAGGCGAATTCAGTGCTGGAATTTAAGAGATTCCTCGACGCCTACCTTGCGGATTACAGGTATAGAGAGCGTATCGAACTCGGATACGATCTAGTGCAGCTGTAATGTGCTGTCACCGTGCAGGATCAGCCACGTGATCCCGCCTAGGTGCCAGATCTAATTACGACAGGGCAACACATTACCTTATCGCTCTCTACTTTCAGTATTTAATATTCAGAAACGAACCTATTTCTATTCCGGACTCTTAAGGAACAATCGCTTGGATACCCCTCCCACCAAATCTCAGACGACAGTTCTTGATGTTGCTTACGCTGATAATTACTGACGTTAGTCCCGTTTTCGGGACATGCGAAATACTAGCCTATTTAAATCCCCCAAAAACGTATCGACGAGATGTGTTTGGGTCATAAACCATGTCCGTATGCCGTAGTTACATGTGTGTTTCTGACACTGTCGGCTCTAATTTTACACTTTGTTTATTTTGCTGTTGCTTTCTACGCTACTACTACCCATTCTTCTTACATCATGCTCCCCCAATACTTATTTTGCATACCTTTAACTGATTGCTTCATCCAAATCAAACACACTAGCGCTCTAACTATTCGGTGCTCTTAAGTTAGCGATTCTGATTACTGCCAACACGTGGCGTCTCCTCGTACTTTTTGCCTCTTCCACATGTACACGTTCAAACTTGGTGTAGTTTGTTTTCCCCTTGATATTGTTGTTTTTCTTCAGTGTTAAAGTTCGATTGGACGATTTGGAGTCGATTGGTGCTAGACCGTCCTCTGGACAGACCGGTGTGGCTCGTTCTGATCCGCCGGTACTCATCACAAGCCGCGTCGCAGAACTACGACGGCAAGAACTGCTAACTGATGCGGACAAGGCGATTTCTGAACAACAACAGCAGCTTTTGGTGTTTGACTTTGCAAAAAATCCCCTTAACCGAAAGGCCGATCAATGTTTATTTTTTTATGCGGATCCGCTACAAATAGTTTATGATGCGGACACCATCAACAAAATCGTCCATTTCCTTACTCCACCAGAGGAATTGAGATTTAATGAGTATGTTAATTATGATGATAGAAACATTGGTACCATTTTTCGATACGCTATACTGCCCTTTTATCTAGAGTGAATCTGCCGACTGCATGCTGCAACAGTTTTGGGCGCGCATTGAATGGTGTCACAATCGGAATGTTCACAAAGGTGTGGACTGCTTCAATGGTCGGTCGTTGTTCAGTATGGGTCTCCCACGGACACTCGATTCGCCGCTGATGATACCTGAACTTTATTCCCACTTCGATTTCGCATATCCAGTTGATCTTGTTTACGACAGCATTGTTTTGAGACTTGGGTTTCTTCTTATCTAACGATGCTTTCTTAGTTGTGCAAATTTACGGAATCATTCCTTGTCCTTTTATTCTATGCCACATGCGTATTTGGTATCACCCATTCATTACTATTGTCTTTTTAATCTCAAAGGACGTTTATTTATATCTTCTTCCGGCCTGTAGTCTGAAGGTACCAAGCTTGTCTAGTAATCCGACACCACGGGTTCGAGCCTGCTTAGGGGCTGGATGACTCGCAGCTTCCTTAGCCCACGTGCGACCGGTGCTGGTTAGGCGGCAGCGAAGCGTCGGTACTGCCTACCGGCGTACTGCTGATGCCTTCCCTTTACTTATATGTTCTTAAGCGGCATTGTTTCGCTGGTCTTCACTTCCGGCTTGTTGTAGTCGCTGGGTATGTCCTAGGACAATTATAACTACCGCTTCGGAGTCTATCGGGGGCCGTCAAACCTATGCTATCCTCTTTCACTTTAACTAATACGTCGTCCCTCCAAACCGGATGCTGAGTATTCGCCCTTCTAGCTGGATGATTGAATCTCACCACTGGATTGCATTTGTTTCTACTCCACTCTGGTTTGTTTGGAATCAAATAGTGTATCTACGAATTGATTAACTGCTGTTTGACATACTAATGCCTATTTTGATCTCAATGAATCTGACACCGATTGCGCAACCGTGTACGGACTGCATCGCCTTTAAAGCTGTATATCGCTTAGTTCTCAATTGCTCTTAAAGAGAAGTTGCAAAACGTCCGGTTTTGAGTACAGATCTATTTTCGCTCATCCCTTTTCCCACTCGGCGCGCCGGCACCTTTGCTCAAGCTATTCCTCCGAATTAGTTCCCAAACCTCATGTCCCATTCTTTCCCTATTCTTGCTGGTAATTATTGTCTGTTAGTCGGTCTTTGACGACAGATCTGATATCAAATTGGACTCAGGCCACTTGGATTACCCAGACAACACTTTTCGCATGCCTACCCCCAACATTCCTTGTTATGTACTGTTTGTAGACATGGGTAGGCAATGCCGCTGCTTGGTCGGTCAATGGTACGGCAAGAATGTAATGAAAATCCTACCGGAGCTTTAGTCGTGCGGGTAATTGCCTACTCCTCGGATTAGATCTGGATAGACCGCAAGCATTAGATCGGAATATTATCGGAGATAGCACGGTTGAGAATTTTGCGGTGTGTTTGCTTTCCTTATTCTGTCTTCAGTCGATATATCCTTCACCAGATTCTTTTGCTCCGGTCCGTAGCCTACAATACCTTCGACGGACATCGAGAACGTTGCACCATCACACGTGCCATCGTTGCTGGTCTTTAGCTGAATGATACCATGGTTATTCATTACCACAATCATCGTCATCATGCGGTCTCACATTGCAGGCTAGAGGACCTTTGCGGGCATTCATCTTCTTGAGCGAACCTGCGTCCACCGCGGACGGAGAATGAATCCGCTCTCCTCTGTGGTTACACGTCTCCTAGCCATGCGAAGCGTGTACCTAGAAGTGGAGAGCGTTAGCTTGTCGACTTGTCGGTTTAGAGGTCACAAGCCTGTCTTGTGATCTGAGGGCGCGCGTTCGAGCCTGCGGATATCCTTAGCCCACGTGCGACTAGTGGTAGTTGCGCGGCAACGAAGCCTCGGTACTGCGTACCGGCGTATTACTGATACCACTAGATTCCCTTGACCTTTATCCAAATTTTTCCGCTCGTATTTTTGTTTAGCTTCCCCCCTTTTACCTAGCCTCCATTTACTACTGTTGTGACAGTAACATCACTCAGTTCAGCTGGTGCCCGGACTGTGGTTGGTTGATTGAATTAAAGTGTTTTTTTACTACTTTCCCATCGCATTGGTTTGTTTCATATGAACTATAGACGTGTTCTTCGATTTGGCAACTTTCCCCTCAGCTTATTTGACTAACTACAAAGCACTAATCATGTCTGCTTTTCCATGTGCGATTTCTAGACTATCCACTCAAATGCTTTCATCCCTCGAAGACGTAAAGGAGATTACAGCTAGCGGGCTCCGGCACATGGCCAACCGACGTCTATACACTGACGTACAAATTATCATCCAGCCCAGTTGTTTCATCTTACCGGACACTGGTGTTTATCGAAAGTATGTGTTCGTATCCGGATTCTTTGGACACTTTTTCCTAGTGTGCTGTCACCGCGCTAGCGTGTCTCCCATAAACCGTCCACGTGCCTTTTCATTATTTGCACACATTGGAGCTGCACACTTTACTGCACGTTTACCACAATTTGCACAAATGAACATTGTCCTTCTGCGACATCTTGCGACCGTACCTTACCGCTATCTATGATCGAGAGAGACAGCAAACATTCTGCAGTAGCATCCATTACCAACAATTAATAAATCGATGTTCTTATTATCTTCTGATCCTTCTCTGTACTTGACAGAATAGCTACCTAGTTGTCTTAATCTATCCTTCTTACGAATTGGCTATTGCTATGTGGATCATACAGTGGACAATCCATACTAAAAGTAGCTTCACAGTCATGCTCTCAAGCTTCGGCTGTTTCCTTTTTCCTTAGTATCATCTTATCCAGGTTTTACCATACCGCAGCGCCGCGATTGTATTGGTTAACAGGCGTTTAATTCGTACTTTTTAATTGTCACTTTATCAGTCATAAGATGCAGCTCTCTGAAGCAGTGAATCTAACACTCATCGTTAAGTAGATGTCTTCGATAGTGGCATTTTGTGTAGGGGTACCAAATGATCACTGCACGCATCTGGATGTCACTATCCTGACCGGTTGCTGGTATTAAATTCCAGCTCTTGTTCCTATTAGATTAGGTCCAATGTCCATAACTGCTTTAATGCTACCGTATGTTCCTTTTACATGACAGTTCCTGTCCAGCTGACAAGTATTGCATCGCCCAATCTAGTTTCATTCCCACTTATTAGATTTTTATTGTCATCACCAATCTGCTGTCTGTCTGTTATCTGTTTACTATATTTGTGTGTTTCAAAACATTTCCGCAGATTGCTTCTCAAAAGTTCAATTACACCATATTCCTTTTTAAGCGGTTGCCGTCTGCTGCTGGTGGACTGCGGTAGTCTGACGATCCGTTCCACAGAAACGAGAGCACAGGAGGGAACCGGCGTTTTGGACACCGTTGCTAAGTCGAATGGTGGCAAGTCACGTTCCCGTATGATTCGGAATGCCACGTTCGATGAGCTGAAGGATGATGCTTACGACTGTTACGAAATTACCCTTTCCTCAATGCAGATTATCATGGCTGAGGAGGGTAAGTTATACATATGCAGCTAAATTATGCTTTGTGAATATGCCTATTTCTATTTCGTCACCGATTTACGCATCGTTTCAGGTGACGATTGGCGCGCTCTTCGCACTAAGCACCAATCCCCAAATCACATTCTACGTCCTCTTGGCATTAATCTTTCTGCTAAACGCTGTCTGTTACAAAACGACATAAACTTCCCAAAGTGAGTCGTTTCCTGTATATTTACATTTCCGGTTACTGTCACTGCGTTTCCTGTGCATTTATTCCTCTTTGATGCACTTCAGGATATTGATCAGTGGCTGTCTCCCAGTGTTTAGTTTGGCTCTGATGGACAAAGTGCTAAAGTCTCTAACCGAGCTGATCGATAATGTACCTTTTCCGGAATCAAACAAGCGACTCAGAACTCCTGAGAACCCAGACGAATTACTAAAGGTGAGTCACTTGGTTACACTGAAACAACTGCCCATTAATCCTGTTCTTTTTCTACATCTCGTCTTTCTCTTAACCTGTCATACTTTGGCTCTGTTGCACCCTAGCAGGGTTTGATTTTATCCTAACGTCACTAGATGCAGTTCTCAGCAAGCATGATATTTGTTTTACACTCACTTTCCTCTGCCAATATGACTGTCCATTTCGTAACTTAGTCCTTCACTATATCGTCCGCCTCACCTGCTCTACTTCGCTCATCGTGGGACTGACCTCCAAATTTTATCCCTTGTCCAACGCGATCTCCACTTTTCCGTACACACCTGTCTTAAACACATTTGTGCTATTTCATCCTTGTGGAACTGAGATAGACTGTTTCGACGATTTACATACACTACTGCTGCATCCATGCACTCCGGATGGTGTTCTAACTCCATAGCTTCCGAGCCACACATTTGATCTTATTGATTGTTGAATAAAATTTGGACGGCGTCTTACTTTACGATTCAAAATTGATTTCATGGTTGCATCGGCCTATTGTCTTGGCTATTCCGCCGACCCTTTCCTCAATTACCTTAGTGGTAAATGGCACTTCGGTTAGAATTACTTCACTATATTTCATTCTCTTTACAACCAATGCATACGTCGCTGATGACGGTAACACACTGCAGCAGTTTGCCACACAAGTGCAGGGTCACCACATTCGCTTTATACGCCAAGTCGGAATGGCGAATTGGAGTACCATCAATCAGTCTTTTTATTGTAGAACCGCTTTTTCATTCCCCTTCCGACTCTACTTCAAGAGGATACAATAGTAGATGCAACAAATACGTAAACGTATCCGTGCTATCCTCAGTTTCAGGATGCTTTCTTCAACCCGTCGACTGCTAAACTAATTGCCCTCCCTTCTGTCTAGTAGCGCTAGGTTTACAGATCCAAAACACAGGTTGCACCTACATCCTGAACTTTGGTGTGTACTACTTTGTTGCTATGGTCGAGTTAATTACGATACCGTTAACTGCATGCTGCTGGTTTCAATGCGTATTATCCGTAAGTTATTTTCGCTATGTTTCCGTCTGAAGGAGGGGGGTGCTTACTTAATGACCGGGGTCCCCGTTGCCAGTCCTCGGTTCTCTCTATTATCCAATGATATCTGTCAAATCATGAGTGTGGAACATTCTTGGACCTCATCCATCTTAGTACTAGACAAGCTCATCCAAATTTCAATTTAGCGATTCGTTCGATGCTAGTCCTTGGCTGCCATCGCGATGAGGCTGGACCTCACCGTGGTGCGATGGTTTGTGTGCCTCAGCGATCCATTGAGCTATGCTTGGTGGTGCTTTTTTTGCACCTTCAGAGTCACTCATACCAGATTGGTCAATGGTTAGAGGACAGACAAGCTCAGCCTCCTGGTCCTCCAGGTTGGGGGTTAGAATGAGGGTGGCACCTTATTCCTTAAAACGGACTCCTTGTAGCCCAGTGCCAAACCCGCTGTCTTGCGGTCAGGTTTTTGAACCAAAGGTTTTGGTTGAGAACCCTGATCGTTTTCCTGTCTAGGCCTGGGCAACCTGACAGTATCCTGCCCACGCAATACCATGAATCTTACCTCAAACAAATTGCTGATGCTCTGACCACCGCAGAGGATAATCAACGGTGCCCTATCTGCTGCTTCGAGGAGGGTGGATAGGGGTTTGGATGCTACTGCTCAAACCTTCCCGTCTTCTTATTCCCCTCTTACGCTTTTTCACTCTTACCGTCCCGTTCCAACTTTATTTATATCCCCCCAGTTTTCAACCCCCCGATTCTTGGCCCTCCCCCAACATGTTTTGCTAAGCGTTTATCTTCTAATTTCAGCTCACATGTGAACGCGGAGCATCACTGCTCTCCTGTCGACAAGCCCAGTTCATCGACTTTCATTTGGAGCCCTCGATCCTCCTTCAGATAGGCATGCCTCAATGTACGCACATTACTACAGATCGGTCAACAGGCAGCACTTGCCCGAATATTGGAGACCCTCTCGATCGATATCTGCTGCTTATCGGTGACCCGCCTGCAAGACTCGAGCTCTGTACTCACTCTGCGATCCCCTTCAGGTGACACTAGCAGCACTTTCTCATTGCGCCTATCCGGTGACGATGCAGCTTCGAGCACCGGCCAAGCTGGTGTTGGCATTGCCCTGGGTCCCCGCGCTGAAGCTGCTCTGGTTGACTGGATTCCAATCAGTAGCCGGATGTGTGCGGTCCGATTGGCTGGCTCGTTTAAAGCTTCGAAGTCGTGCGGGAATAATAGAGGTGTCTATTCATCATCGCTGCCTACGCACCGACAAACTGTAGCGATGATTCGGTAAAGAACGACTTCTACCGCCAACTGACTCAGCTCCTTCGCCACAGAAGAAGCACGGACACTGTTGTGCTGGCGGGGGATATGAACGCAGAAGTTGGAAAGTTGTCCACTGATGAAATGCATCTGGGCGGTCAGCACGGTGTAGGCTCCCGTAATGATAACGGTGAGTGGTTACTTCATTTGTGTGCAGATGTCCGCTTATTTCTTGCGAGCACTAACTTCCGACACAGCACTCGCCGGAGGATGGCTTGGGGTCCACCAACCTTGGACGCAGATCGATCACCTTGTTATTAGTTACCGCTGGAGAGGCTGCATCCAGAACTGTCGTTCGATTTGGAGCACATGTGTGTGCACTGATCATGCACTTGTATGTGCTAACATGCGGACGCGTTTTGGCGGACGCCCACGATGACCCTGTGAGCGCATTGACACCAGCCAACTGACAAAGCCAACCGTTCTGAATGCGTATCGAAGTACGCTGACATGCGAGTTGAGTAAGCGCTCACTGGAGACAGTTGATGGTCACTGGTCACATGTTCGCCAGGCCTTACTAGCAGCAGGCAAATCCTCATGTGATAAGTCTACTAGTCAACATGGACATTGGCTCTTTTCGCGGTCTCTGGAACTTATCGACGCTCGCCGGCATATCCCGGCTGGAAGCGAACACAATGAAACTCGCAAAGAGCCCCGGGCAAGACTCCGTGCCAGCCTGAAGAGAGGCCGCGAATCTTGGTGGTCTCTTCGTGCGTCAGAGATGGAAGTGGCCGCTACCCTTGGCAGCCATCGTAAGTTATTCCGTGTGATACAGGAAACGGGCAGCAACAGACCTGTTGTTAATGAAACCATACGTGACAAGAGTGGACAGCCTATCCGCAATTTTTTCAAAACGTTTGGAGCGTTGGGTTGAGCATTTTGAAAAACAATTTAATCTGCCGGAGTTGTTCGATTCGCCGGTCACTGATCGCCCTGCTTCGTGGGCTGTCCCTTTGGATCCACCCTCTCGCTCAGAAGTCGAACGTGAAATCGGACTGTTGAAGTTGAACAAAGCCGCGGGACCAGATGATCTTACTCCAGCCCTCTTCACATTCAGAGGCTCTGCTCTTGTTGATGCTTTACATGAGTTATTAGTAAAACTGTTGGGAGCAGGAAACTGTCCCAACCGACTGGAGCCGCTCCGTTATTGTTCCTATCTTCAAAGGAGGCTCGCGTTCGGAATGCGGCAATCATAGTGGAATCAGTCTGATCTCCATCGCCTTCAAATTACTCGCCTCCATAATTCATCACCGACTGACTGGCGCTTGTGAAATCGATATTCGTGAAGAGCAAGCCAGGTTTCGTCGGGGTCGTGGCTGCATCGACCACATCTTCACCTTGCGTCAGTTGTTGGAGCACCGTCACACATATTGGCGGCCCACCGTAGTCGTATTCCTCGACATCAAAGGTGCCTTCGATTCGGTGGATCGATGTGCCCTTTGGAATTGTCTACTCAGGAAAGGTGTGCCCGAGAAATATGTAAATATTATCCAAGCATTATACGCGCGTAGCACGGGCAGAGTGAGGGCTTACGGCAAGTTGTCGCCACCCTCCAATATGTCCAGCGATGTGAGACAAGGATGCCCGTTGTCACCTTTCCTCTTCAACTTCGCTATCGACGAAGTTATGGAGATTGCATTTACAGGACATGACTTGGGAGGTGTAGAACTACTCACAGAAGAACGGTTTCTTGACTTGTTCTCATCTGTGACAGCTCCCAGACGTGCCAAGCCGCGCTGGACAGATTAGCACTAGCTGTCAGCCGCTTCAGGCTTTTCTTTGCACCATCGAAATGCAAAGCGTTCCTTCAGGATTGGCAGGGATCGCCTACTGCGCTAACCCTTGGTGGGGATCAGCTAGAAGTTGTTCTGAAATTCAACTACCTGGTAAGTTGTATCAGCGCTCTTGGGATCAAAGACGAGATCACGAACCGTATAGCAAAAGCCACCTATGGCGGCGGCGCTACATTACTCTCGCCCTGAAGGGTAGAGTGTACAGCGGTACGTTCGACCCTACTGTACGGTTACGAAACCTGGCCCCTAAGATCGGCGGACCTGAAGAGGCTAGTTACGTTCGACCCTCGGTGCCTTCGCAGGTTGGCTCACATCTGGCGGGAACACCGCGTGAGTAACGAGCGTGTTCAACGCCTTGTTTACGACACAGGAAAAGGAACTGAACTGCTCAGCACCGTTATTTCACGCACCAGGCTCCGATGGCTGGGCCACGTGTTGCGCATGCCAGCCCACCGACTTCCAAGACGTGCGTTGTTTGCTCACCGGGGATGTGAATGGAAGAAGAGGAGGGGTGGCCAAGGGATGACTTGGTCGAGAGGAATGAAGGCCCTCACTTCGGCGCTGGCCTTGGTTGGAGCGTCACAGCTCCCTGGTTGGGGTGCGAAAGACGATGAACACGTTTGGCTGGATACATTTTCTTAGTGGCGTTCGTGCTGTGAGTTTCTTTGTCCCTCCCCATCCCGTTTAGCCTCCCCTCCACCCACGATCTCATTCCGTAGCGTAAAACATAATATTTTTTTCTTGTTGCCTACTAGCCGGCTGGCAGGTTACAGGAACGATGCCTATCCGTTGCTGGTAACTCAGCTGGCATGCAACTATTTTATTTATTTTCCTTTTCCTTTATGTATTGCGACACAGTAGTTGAGGTGTTTCCCACCTCTAGCTGACGTGTATAATGATGATGATGAGTCCCTGGCTGCCACGGGAAACTCAGACACGGTTGGCGTCCTCACATTTCACAGCTGCCGCCGACCACCTACTCCCAATAATGATCGTAAGCTGTTCAGGCCATAGTGCTCCGCATTCTTAACTGATTTGTAGGCTCCCTAAAGTCATACTGCTATTGCTGTACGCGCGGAACCATTTTCTGATTTTGCCACTCTCAGCTGAGCACTACTATAACAGTGGTGTCCAATATATTTCGGAACAAGTCTTTTTTTGAGCCGAACTTTGCTGATCTAGGCGGTCCATCTCGACGTACGCTGTCTTCGCCGGCTGTCTGTCTTCAAGCGCCACTGCTTGCGATCCATTGGCAGTTTGTGGTGGCTGCACCACATAACATTAGGGAAGTTAGACCTCGTGTCTTGGATGGAGGCATCCACTCGCTCCTGGAACTCGTCCAGCTGCAGTGACTTTGACACGTATTGCGCATGTCGGTTCCTCGTCTTCTGCGTCGAGCGCTATTCACGGTTGATGGACAGGACTGGGGGAGACGTGGAAAACAACCCACAACATGGAGAAGCCACATAATGAAGCTGACAAAACAGTTGACCTAAATCGGTTGTTCTCGACTCCCTGGTTGGGATTTCAGTGATGCAGAGTGTCGCTGGTTGGATACCCTGGATGTCTTGGATCAAGACCGAGTTCATCGGTGGACGTGGATCCCTGTTTGTCGCGTGGACCCCCTTTCCCCTCTCTAATAAAAATCTCAAAAGCTGTGAGTAGAAAACTGGACAAAAACTGACATGTTTTTTTTTCTCATTCCGATCCAGTTTTCCTATTCTTCTATGGCTCCGATGGCACAATATCTATAACACAGCCTAGTGAACTCACATGAAGGTAATTAGTGCTTCAGTGAGTTTCTTCTTTAGTTGCTTTACTGATTCCCAGAAAGCTGGTGGTGACCACATTCGTATCAGAACTCTCCTCTGTCGAACATCGCGATACCGAATTTATGAGCCGCATGCCTCATCGATATACTATGCTCTACTGAATTAGTTTAATCTGGCCTAAATAGCCTGAATTCAATGTTTGTGGTATTGTTCCTATCTGTGACGATTTTCTCTCTACAATATTGAGTCGCCACCACACGATAGCCAACTGTTTGTGACTGTATGTTTTATACACAAGGTGTAGGCGTCTTGACTCTCAATGTTTGCTTAGGATATTAAAGTTTTCAGGTAAGTCCCCCTTCACTCCCTCTTATTATTCTTTATTCCATAGGTCATCTTGCTTGTATGGCAGCGAAGCATCAGTTCAAATGGCTGATGTACTGCTGTTGTTGATTGCATGGGTTACTAAAGGCAGCTGCGAGACTTTTTTTGGGAGGTGACATAACTGAATGGATATGTTAAGGGGAGAATGACTATATTGTCCATATATTGTATCGATCGTCATGGAATGAGCTTACCCTCCATTGTAGTGAAGGTAGTTTAACGGTCTCATCTCACTTACGGCTGAGTTCGTCTCAAAAAACCTGAACCGTCCAGTGTACGACCAATATGAGACTTCTGTTCTCAATACTTACCGATGCACCCACATCCCTGTGGGTTTATGGTCTGGGTTGTCATTTCGTTTTCTGCCATCAACTAAAGTGCGCAATGTCAGTTAAAGTAACTTTCGTCGTGCTTTTCTACGCGACCCACATCGTCTTACTGTCTATTGGTATATTTCTTGATGTGTACTTTTCTTGGATGGCTTGTTGTCCCAGTCAGGTTTTTTCCCCATTCATCCCAGCACGGATACTTCATCATCAACTGGCTTAACACGGGATTAGTTCATTTTGGTCACCATACCCCTTACACCTGACAATTATTTTTTGTCTCATAATTGTAAGGCAAAAGATGACTTTATTCAAATATTTTCAGAAATGACTACACTTGTGTGTGCATGCAGAGTAACTGTGTATCTTCTTTGAATCGTCTTCTCTAACGTCCCACTCATCGTATGCATCCGATAAACCCACTGTCCATTTCAGAATATGGTATTTGTTTCGAGCGACGATTTTGTAACCACGCGAGATTTGGTTCGAGCCAGTCGTTTCAACAGGAGTGCTAGCCAATCCACGGTTGGTAGCTGGATTTCGGAAAGCGTGAATGACCCGGAAGATGAACAAGAAGAAGGTAGGATCAATCTGGCGACAGAACAACCTGAAGCGGAGTTCAGCGACTCTAACTTAAAACCCATGGACCCGTCTGTTGCAGACAGTGGGACCGATGGTGACGACGCGCACACACAAGCCAACAAGGTCCTTTTGCTACTTTTGTATAATCTGTTTTCTCTTTAACAGTACGCTCCCTGCTTCGCCGACTTTCTGACTTTGATTTAATCTTGATTTGACGGTATTCTTGTCCCTGAGCTACCAGCATGAAGATCGGTTACATTGTACGACCTACCATATGCATTGCGCTATAACCTTTAATTGTCTTTGGTGGCAATAATAAGCCATTCATTTGTCTTAATCTAAGCTGTCTTCAGATTTCCACTGGTGAAGCAAGCTGTATTATGAAACACGGAAATTTGGTTTACTGAATTAAGGGCTGTTTGTTCAAGTTCTCCCGTTTACTTGATTTGGATGAACGTGATCCGAACTCCTGATAATTTGCGGGTTTTATCCTCTTCTTTGACATGTCAACTACTTTTCCACTGATATCTTTCGCTGTTTCCCCTACAGACCACCCACAATGCTTCTCGGGATGCGGCTGCCCAACGTCGCCGACTTGCGAATTTAATTGATTTGGAGTTGGATTTTGTTATACGGATGGTGAGTGCATACTGGTGTTTGCCAGCTTACTACGCGTGCCTGATTCATCCACTCCTTTTTAAATGGAGTGTTTTTTACCTTCATTTTGGGGACAAACATCGTATGTAAATGAGCTCTACAACATCTTGAACTATGGTTGGAACCGAGCAAGAACTCATGCTTGCAGAGTATTGTTTTCATAAACCCTCTTCAACTGGATGCCTACGCTACGGTCCCAGTCATGCTATCTGTCTAGGAACTTTCTCAGCAAGTTCCTTTTAATTACTTCAACACCACAGCCTATTAAATTACAGACCCTTAGCGACTTTGTTAATCTTGACAATTTTCTCTCTTATACTGTCTGCTGTTGTTGTACATGTCTTGGTGTCAACGCATGAGGACTAACATATGGCTGTCGCTTGCTATCCCTACTTTTTTTATTCCCTATTGATGGGTACTGTTATTGTACGCACCACTGCAACTAACGGTTCACACGCTTTCACCCTTTTTCTTGTTTCTCCGTCTCTTTTTATTTTCTACGACCTCACACTGACCATCATCCTTAACATTGCACTCAGTGTTGCTTACCGGTCGCATGTACCAGGGCTTCTTTAAAATTTTCACCTTAAACTGGACATTCTACAAACCAAACTAAACGTTTTATAAATCAAACTGAACAAGGTTTATTTCAAGCCGCAAATCGATCACTTTTTTGGCGGCGAATGGGTGGTAACGCGACTGGACGAGATTCACGCCTCATTGCAGTCACGCTGATTCAACCCGAACTCTGCAAGTAGCGGCTGATTGTGTAGGCTCTTTTCTCGATCATATGTGTCGTTCACCTCGATCAATGGCGGTGACCCAGTTCCCCTCTGTCTTTCGCATATTTTGTGTGGCTGTGTGAGCGAGTCTGTGCAGTTGTACGACTATTGGAACAGATTAGGCTGTTATGACTCCACCAAACCCACCCTAGGTTTATTAGTCCAGTGCTGCAGGAAGCGACCTAAATGAGCGACGAAGGATGAGACGGATCTCCGAGGCAATGACGATGCAAGCGAACGTCACCGACACAGAAATAGATTCTTACCATTATTGTGTTCCTCGACGCTAAAACCGCCCAGTAAACTGCTGAAACCGCCTATGTCAACGAGGGTACGACAAGAGACATCGGCCATGCCTGCAGGCGAGTAGGTACCAATACTTGGCGCATCTGTGGAGGAAACAACTGGCAGAAGCTGACTCGCGATGTCCTGCAGCGCGTTGAAGAGACCGTTGAACGGCATTCCAAGGACACTTTGTTACAGGTAGTAGCGGCTGAGAGAGAACGGGGTCCAACTTTCCCTATCAATGGTTTTCAACACTCTCAGAAGGCTAAAGATTACGTTCAAATGATGCCACTACGAGCTAGACCGCGTCAACAGTGCTACAACATTCGCAAGACAGCACGTTTACGCTTTTGACTTCTCAGTACACGCTGTGCATGACAGAGTGGTGCATCTTCATAGATGAGAGCAGATTCATTATCCGTCTGTGGCGGACGCAGGCTCGCTCGAAAGGAGGAACGCGCGCGAATATCCTCTTGCTCACAGTCAAAGGCCGCATGGTGACGTTAATTGTGGCGATGAATAACCAAGGTATACTTGTTCGTCGAAGAGCTTGTGGCGCGTACACGCTGCAGAATGAAGAGTGACGGTGCATGGCTGATCATGGACAGCGCCAGACTCCTCGCATTCCGGGCGACCTGGGGCGAACCCTAGCTCGTCTTATCAGCTGAAGTTCCTGCCGCCGTATTCGTACATGCTAAACCCGGTAGAAAACGTGTTTGCTTAAGTGTAAGCATCGTCGAGACGCCTGCTGACCAATCCGACACCCGACCAGACTCTAAGTGCGGTCGTTCAAGACAGTGTTGGAATACTAACACAACAGGACTGTATTAACCGAGCCCTCATTATTATGCTAAAGCTGACAAACGTAGCAACTAGACCTCCGTTCCTCAACTGAACTCTAAGCATACTGCTTTCTTTCTTGTTACTACATTATAACGCCTCTTAATTCGAGACGAGTTACAAAGTCAGAAGATTAGATATTAATATAAATGATATTATTGTGCAGCAAATAATGATGCATAAAAGAGAGGGACTTATCGCGTGTGCTTGTATGATGGCTGGGAGTCCAATCCGGATCCGCTGCGGCTGCTTACGACGGCAGCGGCGAACCCTGAGAACGTGGATGCATTCGTGCGCGTCAGTTGTCCGTCGTCTAGTTGTATATAATGCGTCTTGATGCGGCCTAAGTATGTCCGTTTTGTGTTGGTGCGAGGTAAACCACTTTCTCAATCACCCATGGATGCCACTTGTTTGGGCGCGGAGCGTGCTCGTGGATAGAGGTCAACTGCTGTTTTGACTTCTGCGTGTGGTTCACGTGGTGTGTTAATTAGGCTTTGCCTTGAAAAGTACAGTTCCGAAAACTCGCATTTTTTGAGGTTATAAACGGACCTGATGAAAGTTACTGCATGTATCGAGGAGGATTAAAAGTCGTTGTATTGTGTCACACATTTCAGGGGGCGACAAATCGGTCGGACCAAATCAGACGCCGTCCGGATCAAGTGATACATGTTGCTTCCTTGGTGGAAGTCTCAGTTGGAGTTACTGTCGGAGACGTCAATAGTCTTTTGTCGGTTGGGTTGTTATCTACTGATTCCAGTAAATCAGTATAAGAAAGCTTCAAGCGGTCAATGCTAACAGTGCCCGTTTTATTGTGTAACTGGACATTAGAATGCTTAGCATGACGTGTAAGGATGAAAATTTGGCCCTCATATGTAAAGATTGTTTCATGCGATCATTGCGAATGAAAACATAAGTGCACGAAGAAAGATCAGAGAGAACGTATGATGATTTCGCTGAGCTCGTAGCTACGCAATAATGAAGTTGGCTCGTGTAATTCTTCAAGTTAGTAACTTATTTTAATAGGTCAGTGTTACTGTTGGTTGCCAGGGTAAAAAAAATTGGCCAAGGTTGTGTAATGTGGCTCCAAAAACCAGTTTTGCTGGTGAACATTGAAGAGTTTCTCGAAACATTGTACTCAAATGGGGTAAAATCATCGGAGGTATATCTATCCACTGAGTCGGATCAGAATGTGCTTTGATCTCGGTTTTTAAGTGTCGACTAAACCGTTCGCATGGGGTTGATATGGTGTATGAGGAATCCTTTTGCAGCCCAATAGTTCGGTCAACTGTTGGAAAAGCTGGGTTTCCACTTGGAAACTTTGGTCAGTAATGATATAGGAATGAACAAAATTATGCTTATTCACCTGGCAGTGAGTGCACGGGCGGTGGTTTCTACACGTCTGTCTGCAATGAAATGACTTCGAGCTATCGAGTGATACGATCGATGCATTTCAGGATGTACGAATTGCCACTGGAATGTGGTAGGGGTTTGACGATATCGATGTGGATATAGTCTACTGTCTGATTATACGAAAGTGCCGATCTGCGGTTGGGTATGCTGAATGATTTTCCAACGTTCACATGCTAAGAAAGTCTTTGCCCATGTATGTATGTCTTCAGTTTCTACCATATATAACGTTCGGTGATCAATTCCACAGTTGCTGGTTTGCCGGGATGCGAGATTTTATGATGAGCTTCGAAACTAGTTTTACGCACGGATGCAGGAACCGTTATTCATAGAATTTCGGTGATAATATCACAATCAATCTTGTCCGGTTTAGTGTGCAGAGGTACTGACTGAGTATCCAGCGAAAACTGGTTGTGCTTCGTTTGCAACTAAGGTAGTTCATCTTGTGTAGTTGAGCCATGCGTTCCAGGTCAATTAGAGACGTGTTTACCTAACCAACTTACCTGGCGTAACAGTGTATCAGCGACAATGTTATCTCCCCCACGAATATGGCGGATTTCGCTGTTGGGCTGTGAAATAATGTAGAGCGAATGCCAAAGGCTTGTGCTCGTTAAACACAACGAACTGTCTTCCTTCCAGAACATGTCGAAGTTGCGGATACTTGAGTGTATGGCGAGTAACCCACGACTATATCAGACTTTGGTTTGCACGAGCCTGTGAAATATGAATACAAGTGGTTGTTGAATTTTATCGACGGTTTGCTGCAAGACATCTCCGATAGAGGTATTTGATGCATCAACATTTATCGACAGCGGAGCTTCGGGTTACAGACAGAAAAGCGTCATGATATTCACCAGAGATGATTTGACTTCTTCGGAAACTCCTGCGGTGGCGTCATGGAAATTTAACTGCTTCGGATCACCAATCAACTAGTTCGTGAGTGGAGCTAATGCGTATGCGGCGTTTGGAATGAAACAGCGGTAAAAGTTAAGCATGCCTAAGAAGCGTTTCAACTGTTTCACGGAATTGGATGTGGGAAAGTTTCTTAAGATATCAAATTTCTCTGCAGTTGGCGAAATGCCAGTGCTACTAGTGGTATGACCAAGAAAATTCAAAGAAGATAAACCGAAAACACTTGTTACTGTTGACAACACCCTACTCGGTCAGACTTGTGAATAGGATTTCCAACTGTTTCAAATGTTCACTTATAACCAAATTATCATCAAGATAAACAAAACTACAAGGTAACTTCACGAAGACATTCTACTCTTCAAATGTTCCCTCGGTCCGTACTATTTAATTTGGAAGCTTTCGTGTGAAATCCACAGCTACTGTTTACATTCGGGCTGATTCTGTACCAGATCCAATTTCAAAATGCACTAGCACACCCGTCATCCCCTTCAACTGTCTTTGCGTTTCCTCCGAGCGTAAGAATCAAGCTCCCTTAATGACCTTTCGGCTAGCTTATGCTCTCTCACGCACGTGACCTAGCCATCCACTAGTCAAACCGAAGCAGATGCATCACTGTGTTCCGTCGGCCAGACAACCCGAGACGGAGTCAGTGTCTCTGCCACACCACCATATAGTGGGGCTCGCGTGGAGGACTACTTGGGTTCTCCAGCTTCTTCTTCTGGCAGCGTCCAGGATCATCTCATGTCGCGCACGCATTGATGAATATTTGTTCCACTTGTGTATTAGCTTCTAATGTTTAGTCAAAGCTAATTGATGACAATGACGAGGAAGTGCTTTTTCCCGATATGCATGTTGGTGTAAGCAAGCAATTTCTCAGTGCCGTTCAACTCGATGGAACGACCATCACAAGCGTCAGTACACAAGTAGTTACGTTAAAGGCGAAGAATGCCTACTTTAGAAAAATCAGGTTGCATCAGAACAAGCAATGCAACAATGGCGCCAGTACTGAAATGCCTTACGACTCCAGCTTCTTTTACTGTGATTGATAGCATCCACTCTAAGATCTCCTTTCCATTTTACTAGTGCTGACGAGACACCTGCGTCTATTAAACACCCATGTGGCTCATTATCACCCATCTACACACCTCACCCAAAGTAGGCTCAAAGGGATCTAACCAAATAACATACAGATGACAACGATGTCTTATTCGGTACTGACTCGCACTCCTTAACCCAAATTTCTATGTTATATGCGTACCAGACTCCCACTGAGTGTCTTCCATGTTAGAGCCACAGATTTGTCCCATCAATTCGTCGATTTGTCTGCGTCTCAACTACCACAGTAACGATTATCACGCTCCTGAACCTAGTAATTGGAGTGCGATGCCACGCCTAACCTACCGAACGGGAATAATGCGTTGAGCATGCGACAACACACGCTGACTAGTACAAAGTTTGGCCAATCTGCAACCGTGATGCAGCACGTGAGCGATTTCAGGTGTAGTACTGACTCCGACTAGCAAACACTGTTGGAATCAATACGTCTTTTAGTCACACCAACAATTGACACTTCAGACTATTTATCACCATTTTGAGGTAGCTTTTCGTGATCATCTTTATCACTGAATACGTGCTACTTTTAAAGTTGATGCTTTCGTTTGAACAGTTGCAGAGTCGTGTGAACATCGATACCCGCGCTGTACTGATTCATTCAATCGATTTGGGTTACATGGTGCGTTTATAAAAACCCGTGGGTAACCGAAGGATTTCACAGTTTATTTGACTTAAACGCACTTAGAATCGTTAATGCTACAATGCGTTGTCTGCACTTGTGTGATTTCTTTCTATGTAGCTGGGTAATAGTGTGGGGCGCTCCATATTGCTTTCAGTTACGGACCACTAGATATATTTCCCCGAATTGTCAGATTTGGTGTAGGATTTCATCAGCTGTATCGCAACAAAGGCTGAACTGAACGACACGATGTTCTTTTTTAGCTGTTACTCAAACCGCCCATTTCTCCCATTCAGGTTCATGTTACTTGCTGTGTTTGGATTACACTCAAGCCTGTATAAGGTGACCGACAAAAAGTTCATACATCGGAACATTGCTCATCGGAAAAATGTTGGCGAACTTTCTTACTGGTCGCCATAGCCGGTTGGACTGTACTAAGTACGATAGCAGTGTAACATTGATTCGCTTAGTAATAACTATAAGCTACTTCGATTATTGGAGCCGTATCCGAAAATCTGTCGCCAATGTTGTAACCAACGAGCTTAGTAAGCAAGTACATACATGTCCGACGTTTTACTGCGTCAATCACTGCGCCCATCTGCATCTGGTCCTAGCTAAGGCAGATGACTACACGATCGGACGCATTTGATAGGCCGCGGTAGTACTGATCCCCTTTACGCACACAGTCGTCGCCTTTCAGTCTTTCTTTTACGTGGTTGTTCACTCGCCTGCACCCTTGATTCGTTGGTATCACTATGCTTTACCTCTCGCTATTTATTTTTGCCCCAATTTTCGTAGATTGAAATTCAAGTACTCCAGCACAGTGATCAGCCGTCGCCCACCGATGCTCAGTTAGCGGTCCTTTGCCTTACTGTTCATGAAGTCGGCGCCAAAGCCACTAAGCGCCGCTGGGATCAAGAGTTGCAGGTAGGAGCAAGTCTACAATAAGCAACAAGTGTTGAAATATTTTACTGGTCTTCTCACTATCTTTTTCTGTACCTTTTTACTCGTCCTCAGAACAAACCAGACTCTCCTATCGCTTGTTAAGTTCTGGTTGGTTCGTGGGCATTTTCGTTACGGACCTTACGTCACCAATCCAGGTGACATTATCAGTGCTTCACTGGGTAGCGAGCATCCTCTCTATAAGATTGATGTTATTATGACGAACACAGTGATCAGCTTGTTATGTGAATTCTACCGCCACGACGTTCTTTTCGGTTTACATAAGTTTATTGGAGTAACCATCTGCCCTAGCATGAAGACCTTACATTTTTATCATTTACGCCCCATTATCGAATACTTTAGCTCGTCGTTCTTAGCTTCTTTTACGCGTTGTTAGGGCTCTTATCTCTGCATTTGAACCTGCTCAGCTCACTTGTTTCGGATCACCCCGCTAGGCTAATGTTAATGAAAGTTACTGTAATTTAAGAGGAATGAATCAAATATTAAAATCAACTTAAGAGTTATAAATTATGGGCCAAATGCAATAGTGCCATTGGCCGCGCTACATCGGATAGACATCCAACAGCTGATGCGTCCGATCCCGAGTTCGGTAAACACCAACCCTACCCAGCCTTCAGTTAACTTTCTACATGCTCTTTGCTATCTCTGAATTTTACTCAACCAGGCTAAGTATCTGTAAACAGCACATGCTGAGGCGATGTTTGCTATTAAACGGAATGGTGGACTTAGATTTCACTCATTCGGCCCTCCTCTCATACGCGAGCTGCACCTCACTGGCGTTGGTGACCAATGACAGTCAGTCACTAATTGTTTTCATTACTCAGTATCTTACTCATCTCAAAGCAACTTGAACTCACCAGCTAATAAGCTTATTCCCTGCCGTCTCTGTGTATCATCCACATGCTCAATATTTGACAGTTGCTCTCAAAACAGACGCTACCTGGAGATAAATGGATGGGTTTCAGAGACAGCCATTTATTGTCCTTTTTAATGCAAGGTAATAGTAGTGTTACGAGGCCATGTAACATTCCACCTTTGCCGAACTCTGGGGAGGAGCAGTTTCCCGTGAACTCTTGCACAGTCCCTTGAGTCATCATATTGCAATTTGGAGTATGTTGAAGTTCTCTGGGTGCATCCTTCACCAATGTGAACAGTTGTCAACCGAATCAAAGGAATATTTGAAGTCAAGGAAGACTATAGTGATAGACTGTTTGCAAGTATGTTGCTGTTTATGCACCTGGTGAAGATTACAGATGTGGTCAATGCACTATCTGTGAGGCAGAAGACTTGATGACTTTCACAGATCCGCTGGTCGCAAGGATCAGGGAGCCACTACAGCATGAAGCGCTTGAGTAGTTCGGGGATGAATGAGATGCGGCTGTTATCACAGTGACTTTCATGAGACACCGACCCTGTTTAGCGATTTGAATGTTTTCTAACATGTGTCAGTCTGCGAGCACTTCTTCGTTACATCATACATTGTCAAAGAGCAGCCATGACCTTTGCTAGTAAGCCTCTATCATTCTCAGCAACGGTGTGGAAGTTTGTTCGAGCCAAGCGCCTCACTTTGCTTCGACAGCACCAGCTCGGGTCAAGACTTGTCGATGACGTGAGTCATTGCACCATCCCACCATATGAGTTCTGGGGACCAAACTAATAGTTCTGACAGCGCACCGGTCCGATTTTCCGGCCTGCTTGGCTGCCTGTAAAACAGGTGTCCATTTGGCTTTTCATTCCATTGCAGTTCACCGTCACGACCTATTCGGGGTTAGACGGCATTACTTTAACTCGCATAGCGCTGGTATAGCATTTCGAAAACACGTTCCAGACGTATACAAACGATGTCTGGGCCTTCGATAGTTCTTTGAGCCACCAGTGCAACTGCACCGAGTCTCATCCAACAACTAGTAGTCGTCTCCTTGAGTCAATATTCATATTAGTAGCGTGGAATCGCCACTCTGTCAGTGATCACATTGTGGTCAACCGACCCTGATATATTACTCGCGGCCGAACATTAAACAGTGTTGGGACATACTTGCATAACTCGTCTTACCTACAACACTGGTTACATCATGCAGAACCTATTCAAAGCTAGTGGAATTACTCTTCTGATGGCAGTGATATCCGTTGGCTATAAACTTGACAAAAAATAATTACATAGACACGAAATACTTACAAACCGTACATTAACCCAGACGAGCCTAACCACACGCATGTGTTCCCTCTATGTGATTCACGTGGGAGGTAAGTGAAGTTAATCTATAAATCATGTGTAACTTATATTAGCACAGCCTACACAAACACCTGCGAATGGTCGCGTATCATTTATTATTATTATTATTATTACAATACACCTTAGCTAGAGGTTCAAAACACCTCAGCTATTGTGCCGCAATGCATAAGAAAAGAACTGAAAACATACAACAGATGCACGCCAGCTGAGCTATCAGTAGCGGATGGGCATCGTTCCGGAAAATTACCAGCCGGCTACTATGCGGCAAAAAAAGTTATTATGCAAAACTTGTATTATGCTAACAAGTGAGATCGCGGTTGGAAGGGAAGACTGCGAGGCTTGGAGAGGGACAAAGACTCACAACACGAACCCCACTGAGGTCGACTCCTAGCCATGTCAGCAAGTGTATCCAACCAAACGTATTCATCGTCTTTCGGACCCCAACCAGGGAGCCGAGACGCTCCTACCGAGGCCAGCTTCGAAGTGAGGGCCTTCATTCCTCTCGACCAAGTCATTGCTTGGCCACCCCCTCCTCTTCTTCCATTCACACCCCCTGGCGCGCAAACAATGCACGTTGCGGGAGTCGGAGTGCTGGCATGCGCAACACGTGGCCGGGCCATCGGAGCCTGGTGCGTGATATAATGGTGCTGAGCGATTCACTCGCTCTTCCTGCACCAAATACGCGACACCGAACACGCTGATTGTTCACGCAGTGCTCTCACCAGACATGAGCTATGCTGTGAAGGCAGCGATGATCGAGTGTGACTAGCCTCTTTATGTCTTTCGACCTGATGGGCCAAGTTTCACAAGCAAATAAGAGGGTTGAAAGGATGGCTTCATTGTAAACTCTGCCCTTCAGGGCGAGAATGATGTCGCGTCTGCACCACAGATGGCGGAGATTGGCATTAGCACCTCACGCTTTTGCTATACGGTTCCTACGATTTATCAACTACCGCTTGCTCCATCGTTGTATGATGATGGTTGCACGGTATACTTCATTCTAACTGACTTTTTTATGTGTGTTGCTAAGTTTGATCCGATTCCATTTAGTGTCAGCGATTTCATCCTTTACATGTTTATTTTGTCGTTACTTGCCCACTTGGGCTTATCTCAAGGCATTAGCCAGGTGCATTGTGGTCGAATTCTGATATGCCTACCTCACATCTCCTTTGTCTCTACTTTCTCTCTTGTCTTCTCAGGCACGTATCGGGACCCTTTCCCTCTCCGTGCCGCGGTATATTGACCAACGCAGCGGAAAAGCTGTGTGCCTTATGAAGACTAAGCGACACATTGAAGGACATCATTTACTTTCTGTTCACCTTCTAGTGGCCGAGAAGGGCGCCCCGGATTTCGAAAAACGCTATAACAATACGCGACATCGTCTGCGTTGCGAATTCAAGGCGCTTGAGGTAATTTTTGACGACTCTTTTCGAGAGTTGTCACAAAAGCTAACCTGTTACAACTGAACTACACGTACCTTTGCTGCCACGTCTCTTTTTTGTTTTAGTTATGCATTCACAAAGAAGCAACCGTGCAGCTCTTCAAATTCTTCAACAACTTGGTCGACGATCTCGTGGTGTCACCGATGGGCCAAAAGCCGGACCCCGTAACTGTTGCGGTAGATAAAATTGGCGAGAAACAAGGTTTAGATGCCGCTTCGGATGTCGCACTGTCTCCGGATATGCCTCAACACATGACTGCTGTAGAAGCCCTTGATTTTCGTCTTGCAAGGAAGAATGAACGACGGCTGATCCGTTTGGATGCTGCCGCGGCTGCTTCAAAGTCAGGTGATCATACCCATAGGATTACAACTGTCACATCACTTATGCGCTTGGGATTCTGTCCTTACACTCATTACCATGAAGTCACTACTCTACTAAACCATAACTACCCACTACGGTGGTCACTGCAGTTGTTTGGTACTTGCATCTTTTTCTAGAGGTTGCAGCTATCCTGTTAAACTTTCACTGGTTTTCCTACAATTTCTTAATGAGTTAAGCTTAGTGCTTGGATACCTTTTAATGCTGTTCTTTTGTCAACGGCGCATATCACGATATACTCTCGTCTTTGTTTTGATTACTATTATAAGCAACCAGCTCCGAATTCCAGTCATTACTCTTACAGCTAGCTGTTGCCCAATTTGGGCCACCGCGTCATGCTACTTCACGGAACTACCTGTGGAGATGCTTAGGGTCTCATTGGTGTGGAACGTCTCTCTCAGCTTGAACTATGATCTAAATTCAGAACGCTCAGATACCAACATCGGTGACGGTGGACGCGGGCCACACTAAGTCGAAGCAGGCGGTTTAATCACATCCACTTGGTCACCTTTTCGAAGCCGGATGTATGCACGTTACTGACAAGTCTCGAAAATGCGAAACGTTCGCCTAATACACTTCCCGATATTTGGCGTCGGATGGCGCCGGCGTGTCCGCGACGATGATGTACGTAGGTGAGTGATGGGCGATGATTACCAGGGTAGTTCCCCGGGACAACATAAACCACTGAATAAGTTACGTTGGCTTGGGCACGTAGTACATATGCCCGGTCACCGCATACGGAAGAGAGCCCTGTTTAGTTTGCTACATGTAGAGGGGCGCGTGACACGAGGTGGATAAAAGTTAACTTGTCGACGGGAAATGAAATCAATGACGTGCTAGGCATCGTAGGCCTCATCGATCACATGCTACGCTAAATATCCGTACTAATGTTCGCTGTCCCAACGATCAAGCTAACTGCTAATCACTTGAGATGAGTTAATCTTAGACACAATGTTTTTGATGTTGGCTCCAAATCTAAACTGTATTTTGCTCTATAAGCTCCCATATTTAAGATACAGCCTACCCCCTGTTTGCTACTTGTGATGATGTCGGTGATATGCCTTAACGAGGCCTCGCTGACACGCAAACAGCACCAGTCGCGCGTGAGCTAAACATACTGCGAGGATCGCATGGTCCCCTACGCTGGCCCGAACCTGCGACATCCGGGTTGCATGGCAGAAGCCTTGCCGTTTCGTCCACCGGCCGCGAGGTCTTTTACTTTAGGGATATTATTTTAAGAACTAACACGTAAATTACAAAACTTATGATCTTAATACCTTTTAAGCATGTATAACAATTACGGCTTTTCGCAACAACTTTTAATATCAATATTGAAGCGTTTTAAATAGTAAAATTGGTGAGATTACATATTTAAATAATGTCTCAAAAACTGGAGGTGCTGCAAATAAACTGACTTGATATTTGGAGTCGCCGCATCAAATATACCTTAGCTAGGTTTTACATTCTTTGTAAAGAATAAAAAATAATATTTTGTAGGACGGTTTAAGCTGGCCCGGAAGTGCCGGTTGCTTTTTCAACCACCGTTTAGCTGCCTATGCAGTCCACTGCTTTCTACCAGTTTAAACGCGTTTCACTGTGCTCAGATGACCGCAATTTGCACACACACCTTTTGGCTGCAACTTTTACGCCTCAGCGCGTATATCCTTGTAGGTTGTGTTGATGACCAAAATCATGTTCAAAAGTCTCAGGTCAAGGGCATTTATGCTCAGCTGAGGACATTTTATCAAGCTGTTCATTAACTTAATCTACCCAAAAGTATTGAGGGCTTATCCGTTTTTCGAGGTTAGCAACACTCGAACACTGCCCATTGATAGCCAAACATTATCAGTCCCACAATTTTTACCGAACGGATGGGTAAAGAATCACTTTAACTGAAATTACGTGAAGGCGACTGGGCCTTTTGAGCTATTGTGATCTTGTCACCGTCCGTATACTCGTTGTGGCAGTTGCACCCTGCTTTATGCAAAAATGGCGAAATGTGAGCCGCGCTGTGCAACCGAAGCCAGTTGCTCGATCCGGTTAGTTGAACAGGCCCACCTCTCCGCCGCCTCAAAGACTTAAACGCATGAGTTAGTGGCATACAGTTATTCAAAGCCAGTTCGGGTTACCCCACAAATGTCTGCCTTCTACACAAGTGATCTAGTCGGTCTTTGTCTGCTCGGTTTTGTCTGTCCATCCACGGTTCGGTCTGCCAGCCTTTTGAATCTATGCATGTAACAACCGGGGTTTTCGTGCTATCACATTAAACTTTGTGCACGCGGTCCAAACTGGACTACACTCCATCTCGTATAAATGAAAGTGGTATTACAAACCGTATCCATTCTTAGCGTTCCTTAAGTACAAGTGCGGTCTCACAACGTCCACTTCTGACTACTGAACTTACATCCCGTCGTCATACCACTTTCTTGTACAGTGCATTTGTACACATCAAGCATGCAGATGGTGCACACAGCATCCATATATATATATATATATATATATATATATATATGTATAAGGATGGGAGGCACGTTTCATCAACGGAGCCGGCCCACACTCCTTAACACACAAACACGCTGTATTTAGGAATTAATCGCACACGAGACAGTTGCTGGGCCGCAGTCTGCTCCACACTGAGTGCATGGAACCACTCTCCGAGCATAGCACAGCCACAAGGACCTTGCATACCGTCCCCTCCAGCAACGACCAACTGTCTCCTAGAGCCAGTATGGATGAGGTAGTGGGTAATAGACAGGTAGGCACCTTGTCAGCATGCACATCAAGCGCAGCGACACCGGGGATATCAAGCAAAAGCCAATCACTTGAAACGACAAGATGAAATAAAATAAACCGAATAATGCGTACAGATACGGTGACTTAACTATTCAATAAATGAGCATATAAATTGGTTGCCAAAATATCCGTCCGCAAATAAATTTTAGGTAAGTGCCACGAACGTGAAAACGTTATCAGTTAACTACAATTCACTTGAGCGACGTGTGCAAGTTAATAGAAGATAGTTCGCGTAGGCAATATTGAGACAAGATAGCAAACCCACCACCGGAAATAATGGGACCCGGCATGCAAGCAAGCAGTTAGTAAATCGAATGCAATGTACCCACAAACGTTGCGCGGGTTGTGCCTACCTTCTCTGCAGGATCCTTCGTCGCTTCGGTGTCGACCCCGAGTGGACTCGCTCATGGCTCACTAGGCTTGCCTGACTCAGGCACTCGCGACCGCATGTGCTACAGCACCATGCGCTCGATGTCCATAGAGTACAACCCATCGGCGCCTGCCGCTTCCGCACTTACCGCTTCTTTTCCGCATACATAGGTCTTTCTCCTCACCTGGGCAAATGCGCCATGCACGCCGATCAACCGTCTTCGATTCCCATGACTTGCAATCAAGATTGGAACGTGAGAGGGTCACTTTGATCATGTCCTGGTAACGAAGCTTCGGTTTCCCCACATGCCGCTTTCCAATACTCAGCTGATCACATAGTAGTTGTTTCGGTATCCGCGTCGAATTCATACGGCTCACATGACCGATCCCCCTTAAGTGTCTCAGCAAAAGTATGTAGTCCGCAGCATACATTCCACTTCGGCGCAACACTTTCGTGTCAGCAACTCTGTCGCACCAACCGATGTCCAGAATCCGTCTCAAGCACTGCTGATGGAACCGCTGGAGATATCGCACATCCCGCCGGTACATCGTCCACGTTTAACTACCATATAGTACAACGGACCGCACCATGGATTTGTACACCATCAGCTTCGTGCCAACAGGAAGCTGGTTGTTCCACACTCGGTACTCTAGCTTCCCGAATGCCGCCGCTGCCTTCGAGACGCGTATACGAAGCTCGCTGTGTACCTGCTGTCCAGTCGACATCAACTCCCAAGGTACCAGAAATGAAAGGTGTTTTCCAACACTTCAGCACCAATGTGGATTCGCTGCGATATTGAATATTGCACTTCCGGTGAAGGCTGAGAGAGACATACAGTTTTGCTTGTGTTGATGGTGAGCCCGAATTTGGCGGTTGTCGAAGCCAGAGTACTTGTAAGGTGCTGCAACTCATCCGCGCTGTGTGAAAACAACGCACAGTCGTCAGCAAACAGCAATATACGGATAGTTGCCTCACACGCTAGGGTCCTTGCACCGAGAGGACGGATGTTCAGCAACGCACCATCAATACGGTGCTCCACACGAACACCGTAAGCCCAAGCGGCATCAAAAGCAGACAACATTGCATGAAGATATATATTAAACAGGGCAGGAGCTAAGACACAGTCTTGCTTCACACCAGAAACAACTGCAAAGTCATTCAGTGAAACCTAGCCATGGGAGACAACAGGTCCATCTGTTATAAGCTCATAGCTCGATTGGTGTAGAGCACGGGCGCCGCGCGTTGTCTCTGACGGTGGGGGGCGTCTCCTAGTGCTCAATGGTTTGCTAATGCCATCCTCAAACCATACAGCCCTGGGTCAAATTAGTGTAAAGCCGCCAAAACCCACCTGCGGTTGGCCGTAGTCGCATATACGTATCCGACAACAATCGCCAAAACCAAATGATTTGTTCCAAAACTACAAATGCTGTGTGTGACGGACTTGAAGCAGATCCCAATCTGAATCTGCGACCACATTCAAGAGCTGGATATACCCCCACTGCCTTGTGGGTCAGGCTGTTGAGCTAAAGGCTCCGTGTCGAGTCCCTCAAGGAAACCTTCGAAGCACAACGGCCACCTCACGTGCAATTGCCCACCAATGCAATCGTATGCCTGCGCGCAAAGCACTCAGCATCAGGTGCTGGAACGTGCGCACACTACTGGACCGCAACTGCAGTGAGCGCACCGAGCGACGCATTGTACTCCTCGCGATGGAACTGGCGAGGTACAACATCGCTATTGTGGCGCTCAGTGAGACCCGGATTTGCAAACCCGATCGCCACAATGTACAGCTCGTGGGTTAACCAACAGGCATCAGCGCGCGACTGATGACTGTTCGCTAACAACTTTCCACTTTTATATGCACGTACGGTCCGACCATTTGTTATCCTGATGACATGCGTGATCAATTCTACACTCAGTTATCTTCCATGTTACGGTCTATGCCGAGGAGCGACCGACTATTTCTGCTGGGTGATTACAACGCGCGCGTTGGGCGTGATACATCGGTGTGGATAGATGTCATCGGTCCGTATGGCATTGGTTCAGCGAATGCGAACGGTGACAGGCTGCTCTCACTGTGTGCCACTCACGGCCTGACGATCACGAACGCTCGGTTTGCACTGAGTGCGAGTGATATAGCAATTTGGACGCACCCACTGAGTGGACATGCTTACCTGCTCGACTATGTCATCGTACGTCAGTGTGATATGCGTGAAGTGCCCTTGACACGTGTACTGCGTGGGGCCAGGTGTGGCACTGATCATAAATTGGTGCGGACCAAGCTGTACATATATTTCCCTAAATCTATGCATTACACTCCTGCCATACACGGGGTTAAGTTTAAAATTCTCGCCCTCGGTATTACGGAGAAGCGCATTGAGCTGAAGAAGGCGATGGCCGCAAGACTGCGTGATGTGGACTGCATAGCCACAATGGGCGACCTGTGGCACCACATTCGCGACCAGGAGACAGCTGCTGCCGAAGAGCATCGCGCGCGCAAACTGTAAGCGGCCTGATTGGTTTGATGAGAACAATGCGACGATTGGCGCATCGGTGTCGGGGAAGAATGCTGCATTTGTTGCACATATGGCAAACCCCAGTGACTCGGGGAAGAATAGCCAATTTCGAAAACTTCGATGGCGACTGACTCGCGAGCTCCGTCGCATAAAAAATGCATGGTAAACGGAGAAGGCGAAGCTGATGGAATGCTACGCCGAACGTCGCTAACACAAGCAATTCTTTGACTCCTTGAAGGCGGTGTATGGATCGAGATTGTAGCCGATGAGGACGTTGATCAATGGTAGCTCAGGCGCTATCTGTACACAGACTGAAGACGTAATGCAGGTCTGGCGGAAACACTTTGACTGTCTCTTGAACAACCGTTAAGAGATCGACTGACCTAATTTGAACGACCAGAAGCAGCACGATGTGAAGGCGAGTCTGGCGGACATGCCGACACTGGATGAAATGCAGAGAGCACTTGCTCAGCTGCGAAACGGCAAGTGTGCCGGTGCCGACGGGATCCCGTCTGAAGTATTGAAACACGACGGACCCGCGTTGTTGACTACGCTGCACCACTTGGTGAAACGTGTTTGGATTGAGGATGAGGTGTCTCCTTAGCTGAGGGATGCGCTTGTGCTACCACTGTTCAAGAGGAAAGCGAGCAAGCAATGTTGCACGAATTATCGTGTCATCAACTTGCTGAGTTGTGTGGGTAAGATGGTTGCCCGAATCCTGCTCAACCGCCTCGTCAGTCAGGTTTTGGAACCTAACGTGGCTGAAGAGCAATGTGGATTCCGTTCGGGTCGCAGCACTATAGATATGGTGTCTGCGGCTCGTCAGTAGCAGGAGAAGTGCAGAGAAGGATACCAGCCATTGTACTCGTTCTTTGTTTATTTTACCAAAGCACGAGGCATTGTGGCTGGTGTTGGGTAAGTTTGGTTGCTCGGGTAAGTTTGTATGTTTAATTGAATGTCTGCTCAATGGTATGCTGTCGAGGGCTGGGTGTTGCCCACTACCTCGTCCATGCTGTATCTAGCAGACAGTTGGTCGTTGGTGGATGAGACGGTGTGCGCGGTTCTTGTGGCCGTTTTAGGATCAAAGTGTCATTCCGTGCACTCAGTGTGGAACGGACTGCGTTGAAGCCACTGCCTTGTGTGCGATTGATTCCCAAACACAGCGTGTTTGTGTTTGCCTGTGAATGAGTGTTTTCCGACTCCGTGTATGAGACCTAGCTGCCATCCCCATGCCTTCCGGTCTTATTCCTTTGGGTTTACACTGAATATGGAGTGTGTGGATGGAGCTGTAGGTGGTGCAGCCGAAGCCATCCGTGTTCCCTCTGTAGGCGCAGGCGTCATGTGGCTGGCCACGGTGACAGACGATTCCAAAACCCGATGCCGCGAATCCCATATATATATATATATATATATTCTCTGTTTCAAACAAAGTACGGTCCATTCACCGCCTTGTGGGCGCTTGATTCGCAAATAAAGCGTGCTTGTTTTTGCCTTTGTATGAGTGTGGGCCGGCTCCGTTGTTGAAACCTTGCTCCCATTCACATGCCACCCGGTGTTATTCCTTCTTGTTTACACTTTTTAGGGATGTGTGGGTGGTGCAGCGCAAGCCACCCATGGTCCCTCTGTAGGCGCAGGCGTCCTGTTGCTGACCATAGTGACACATAAGTCCGAAACCGGATGCCGCGTAAAGGTTGCAAACCAGTCACCCGAACTGCCACTCTACGGTCCTTATATTAGCTATTCTCGCTCACATTCCTCAATGGGATGTGGGGTCGTGTTTGTAGAGATTGCAGCGTCTGGATTGGTATATTCATTTGCTTGATTCGTCAAACTACTCGTTTCTCCTCTCTTCGCACATTATTTGATCTTTATGATTTATTGCATGGTGTTGTGCTGACAGTGTTTCTGTCATACCTCATTTCTACCGCACTAGTTTGGGCCATAATGGTTGCTCATTCAACTCTTATCAATCAGGAGTGATAAATACTCAGCTGTAGCGCACTGTGTACCTTTGATGGTGTGCGATAGGTCTCTGCTTTTGTGGCTTCGTTTTTGTCGTCGAATCCCCCATACATAATGCACGCGCGTTCTATATCCTTGTCTGGATCCACTTTAATCTTAGGCAGAACAATGGTCGTTCGTGAAGTAGTCATCACCCAGTGGTCTATAGACGCCACTCTCGACAAGGTCACTCTCCTGTTGTGTTCCGACGAAGTTGATCTTGCTTCTGCTACCATTCACAGTCTTCGTTTGAACATGTTCACTTGCTATCAAACTACTGAGCTCTCGGCTATTTTGTCTGAGATCAGCATCGTCGACAATGTCGAATCGACGGACTATCGCAAGGTACGTTTGACTATACATCTTGCTGTTTTTTTACGGTTCTTACTTTCCACACTGTCGGTAGAGTCCCTTTTGTTACCTGTGGCTCCTAAACATCTTTTGCTTGATTACACCTCCTGCATACGGCTTCGGGTCACTTCGTTTAATCTGTGTTGTTGTTCTTCAATCACGAGATTTCGCCGTCCCTGGTATCCTTTTTCATCATTTCTGTGTGCTATTTCATCTCTGAGTTAACTGCCCCTGACTACGCTCATCAGATGAAGCCTCCTATTTCAGATTATGTGGATAGACCCAGCCGAAAGTGTCATTTCCATGCAGCTCACACATTTCACCCGAGGTTCGCAGCTGCCCGGAAACTCTTGTGACCCAGATAAATTGGACTTGGCATTGAGCTTACAATTTGGAAAAATACGTGTGATTTTCCTGCACTACTTTGTCTTACGGATATCGGTATGTTTCTTTTCCCTATTTTCACGTCACATTGAACAAATAACAGTCGGATAAATTTGACTACGTTTTCTCCTTTGTGACAGAATTCATACGTAACATCGCCAAGGGAGATAGTATGTTATCTTATTTCCTTCGTTTTTCTTCCTTAGCTAATAGCTTTTCATCGCCCGTGCTGTTGTGTTAGTGGGGTCTAAAAATACATTCGATCAGTCTCTTGCCTTACTGGTGCGCCTTACCTCTGCAGTCGGATTACTCCGGGATATTTGAGCGTATAATGTCATCTTTCTGAGGGCTAATAATAGTAAGGTCTAGTTGTATGTATGTATCGACTCTGGCTCGGAACTTACTGATCACCTTTCGTCGTCTCGATAAATCGTTTATTTTTCTGAAGCTCTTTGCTAGGGAAACGGGGATACACGTTCTTCGTGTCATTGCGAAGCTCAAAATACCTTTTAATCCTGATGAAAGCTGTGCCTTGGATTCCGTATTTTAGCATTTGTAACACGATCACCCAGTTCCACTTGAGTGTGATTCGTTGTTACAAATCCCGCATGATTCGGGTGCTCACCAATTGAACTTGCTCTCTTGTGGTACAGGTACCATCCCCATAATATGCGTGGGGTCTGACTACTTATGGCGCCAATCACGGGCGCGCATCTTCCTGGATCTTGCGTGGTGCGCTCTTGCTTGTAACCTTTGTCAAGCGCTGCCTCCTCATTTCTTCCTGACACACGACCTTCGGCCTCTGGGTTCTCACCTTGTATTAAGATTGATCTGGTTCGTTCCTTCCATACTTCTAACTTGGTGCACTAGTAACACACCTTACTTCTATAGCTTTTGGACAACATCACATATCTTCGAAGCTGTTGCACGAGTTCATCTACCCACGCATGTATGCTTCTGAAGTAGTGTGCGCCAGTCACCAGGTGATCGTGATTCCGTTCCTTATGGCTACATTGCTTGTTCCCCTGAGTTTATACGGGGCTGTGTTGGTGGTTCACACCATACTAGCCATGTCTTTTCTGTTGAAACGGGCATTCTGTGGTTGTTCGTCCTTACAGAGAGAGCCGGATCAGTAGCCAGATACTTCCTTTAACCTGCGAGCATCACTTGTCTCAAATCTGGATGGTACTCTCCCGAGCTATCACTCTTGACCTTATCCTCTTGTGAAATTGCACAGCGTTTCGGATCCCGGTTTGCTCCGTATCCTTCTGGGATTGGCCCTTGCTTCTTACCAGCCTATTTCCCAACCATGCACTTCATGAATTGAAAACTTCTCTGAATGCTTACACTTCCAGTTAATTATCGCGCTATTTTCGGAGCCTTCCTTTCTGATAAACTTACGTCCTAATCACACCTTCATTCTTTTATTGTTGCCAGCTACGTGAATTAATCTCTCGTTTCTGCTCGTCACCTTTTCATTCCTCTTTTCTACTTATTCAGGAGTTTATGAGTGCTTTCAGCATTCAAACAAGAGCTGTTCTCAACCAGGTCAATGAGCTGTCCGACGCGGCAATGCAGCAGGTATGTTTAAATCTCTGCACATCATGTTATAGCTTGTACGTTGACGCTAAGCTATGCTGTATGTACGGCTTGTTATCGTTTGTCCGTTTCCAGATTTACCCGTCACACTAGCTCTTGCTAAGTGCGCCTGCACTGCGAACTCATGTGGCTTGCACTTTGCTATACTTGGTTCTCAACAATCTACTTGTCCAATTTAAATCTCATGGTTGCGGGCTTGAAGGTGTCCGAGTGAAAACCTGCATTGTCATGTGACCCACGCATCCAACTTAAATCTAGAGTATTGGTGGTTTTGTGAGTATGTAATTTTTGTAGAAAGTAAAAGCCACGATTAAACTTTGCACAATAATGGACCTCGACGGGGAACGAACCCCGGACATACGGATTACCGGTCCGTTGCTCTACCAACTGAGCTACCGAGGACTGACGATCAGGTGCGCAATTTAATACATGACTTCCGCTTGGTTCGCGACGTATTGCCAATAAGCTCACAGTATCTGTCCCATTGTTGCAGATTGGCTCACTCACTCGTCACTTCCCAATGAACCGAAGTATCTGTCCTTCAGGTCTTCAAAGGGCGATGGTAAACTTAGCGTATTGGTGGTTTTGTGAGTATGTAATTTTTGTAGAAAGTAGAAGCTACGATTAAACATTGCACAATAATCTGCCTCGACGGCTTCTACTTTCTACAACTTAAATCTGTTGCCTCTACTGTTCGGCCCGGAACTACTCCATCTCTAAGTGACTATTACGATATTACTTTGTAGGCACATTATTAATACCAGATCCGTGCTGATTTGGCGCTCATTAGCACCAAGTTGTGAAGAGGCTTGCATGTCACTCTTGCTCATTTCAGCTCTGAACTTGCTGGAGTTTTTTTGCATTAACCTCTGTCCGCTCCTCCACAGCGGGAATTCCTCTACAGGCCAATTCCTGACCTAGGTGTCAAATGAATGAGCAATCCGTCAACTAGTCGGATCGAATCTAATCATGCTCAGCATAAATCCCTCAGCGGCGCCTTCGGGAGAATGAACTAACACGGTACCCCATGGCTAGCCGATTAACAGCGCATGTCGGCTGATGAATTCGCTGCAAGTTATCGTGCATTCGAAGGCTTTATAATGCTCAGTAACAGTTGCTCAGTCCATGCTATGTCTTCATCAAGACCAAATTGCACGGTATATTTTTCATCAGCAGCTACATCGGATCTAACTGCACTTTTACTCAGGATAAAGTTGTCCCACATCCAAGTATTGTTTATATAAATAAATAATCGCTTATTTTCAACACCAAGACATGATCAGCAACTTACGGTTTTAGACAAATCACCGGGCACTGGATGAATAGGAAAATGTACAGATAACAAGTCAATTTTCAACGTACGGGCGAAAAGCCACGAACATGGCCTAAGGATTAATAATGATCGTCTTAGAGAGAAATATGTTTGCAACCAAGCTTGCTCCTGGGAACGTGCACCTGAAGTAACAGTCCTGGTTACCACGTTTCAAGATCATCCATATTCTGACCACCGCGGTGACATTCTGCACTTTCGTCAGTGTGACTAGATGCGGATGATGCTACTTTTGTTTCCTTCCAGATAATGTGCACTGTGTTCATTTCCGCGTCTTATATCTGCTAAACTAGTTTCTTTTTTGATCACAATGCTGAACAACATTGGGATCTTTTGTTTGCCTGCCTTTCAACATTTGAATGACTCAAATTAAAGAACTTTTCATTCACCATTTCGATTATTTTGTGTCATGCGTGTTTTCTTTATGTCGGGCTAATGCTTTTATCACTTTGTGTTTCATCTCCGACCACTGCTCGTGCGCGTTAATGAACATAATGTCATTGGACCCTGTTACCCTTTTAGGTTCAGGAGGTGGCAATGAAATCGTCAACTTTTCGTTTGGGTCTACATGTGGTCGCACAGGCTCCGGTCATTTACATACCACAGCATTCATTCTCCAACAAGGCATTAATGGCAGATTTTGGGTGTATTACTTACAAAAATCGCTTTGAATTCGTCAAAAATGCCGATGGGATTCCAGACGTATGCGGCCCGATTCCTGAACCGGGTCTCATGTTCGAACATGCTGACGTCACGCTGGAGAATTTGCGTTTGTCCAGGTACGATTTACGTATTCTGTTTCTTTCCCTATTGGTATCTTGTGATATAATACTACAGATCGGCAAGATACTGCGTTTATATTTAGTGGTCGATGCTCTACCATGTCATGTGTACCACTTTCTCCTCACGTCATTCATCTTTTTGTTTTGCGCCGCTTCAAAGAGGGTATTTCACAGAAAAACTTGTACGAGTGCGTCGGAAACTGCGTTTCAGACTCGTATTTCTTTCGCGGTATGTGTGATCACTCTATTCACCAATCGTTCCTAGAGTTCTTTTCTTTTGTTTGTTAGGGTGTTCGCTATTCCGTTGCCTACCCAACCCGGGCTAATTGTTTGCTTTTTAGAGCCGTCTTGATGGAGAGTGCAGTCACTTCGGAAAAGCCGGTAATCCATCCAATCAATATCGAACTTCATCTTCGACGCAATCTGAGTCCGGAATCATGTGCAACTGTTCCACTGCTGTGGCTCGATTCTAGTGTTAAATCAATCCACGTAAGTCATTCTGTACATCTGGCATACGTAATTTCGTTTTTTTTTGTCTAAACGGTTACTGTCAGTCGACTTAGTTCACTTAACACCCTGCACCCCGAAATTTTTCATTTCACTTTCATTAGTTGTTCGTTCCTTTGCGTCGCGCTTTGGTTTCCGTTCCAATTTGGCTTATTACCCGTGTTGAATAGCACTAATGTTCCGTGAGCTTTACTACGTGTTTACCAACCACCGTAAGAACGGTGGGTCCATGTCATGCAGGTACTCATGCCTTTCACCTAGCTGTGAAATAGAAAGGAAGTACTAAATGAAGTCTAAAGATAAAGCTTGCTTATCCAACCCACCAATGTGCGCATGTTTTTCAAATGCCATCAGTGGGTCTTCAAGCACAGTGAGAAGCTGTTTAGGCGAAGAGGAAATCAAAGATAAATCCTATCTAACCAATTCATCGATGTGTCCCTGTTTTCATAGGTTACCAACGGGCCATCGATCTGAGTAACACGAAGTATAGCAGTATAGACTAACATAAAATCAGAGATACACCTCATTTATCCAACCTATCGATGTAGCAATGATTTCATAGGCAACCGGTGAGTCATCAATTTGAGTAATACCGAATGGATCTGACAAAGTAGGAGGAAGGAA